TAGATGTTATATATGAAATTATTTTTCACTTTAGGATTTTGTTCATGTCACTATCATTTCTGACTTTTGGATTGTATTGCCTTCAGGTAATTTATGAAAAGACCTGGTAATGTATTGTCTTTTACCAGTTCTTCTCTTCTGACTGTACATGTTCTTTTCTACACATTCTGTTTACTAGTTTGTCCTGTTTATACATTTATAGACAGAACAGGCACCTTTGTTCCCCCAAATCTTCATCATCCAAGGGAACATCTTCCAGTTTATTCACTCTTGGGTTGATAGGTTGAGTTATCACGTTCTCATGGCCTAAGGAGCCTATCAATAGAGTTACAGAAATTTCATTAATACTGGTAAGAATATATGCTATCCATATAAAGTTTTACAAAAAATTTAAAGAAAATATCAGGACCTGGAGAGATCGCTTAGCAGCATAAGCCCCTGTCTGATACGCACAAGAACCCAGGTTCGATCCCCAGTACTGCATGCCATGCTGGTCCTGGAACCCCAGGCATGCTGAGCTGGCCACTGAAACAGTGTAGTGGCACACGCCTGTAATCTCAACACTGGAGCGTGAGACAGGAATATCACTAGGAGTCCAAACTGGGTACTGAGACCTTTTGTCAGGGAGGGAAGGATGGACGGACAGACAGAGCTGAACTATAGCCTATAGATAATTAGAAACTAGTTTTAAACTAAATGAAGTGATACAGTCCATTACTTCCACTTCCATCTGCTCCGCTCCCTTCCCAGAATCTAATTAGGATTATTTTCTTGTTTATAAAGATAACAGGAGTAGAGTCACAAAATAAGGTTTTTTCGTTTTCTTTTTTCTTTCTTTTTTTTTTTGGGGGGGGGTCTTTTTGAGACAGAGCCTCACTATGCAGTTCAGGCTGGCCTTGAACTCACTTTATAGTCCAGGCTGGCCTCAAACTCCCAGCAATCCTCCTGCCTCAGCCTCCGAAGTATTAGCATTATCAGTATGCACCATCACACCCAGCCCACCAAATAAGTATTTTGTTTTGTTTTTTATGTATTTTAGTATAGACACAGATCGGACTCCTGTTCAGCCTCCCAGGTGCTGGAATTACAGGCAAATGCCACCACCCCCAATCTTAATCAAGGTCTCCAGGTGCTCCAAGGGGCAGGGGCAGCACAGCATGCAGGGGATCAAACCCTGGACGCTTTAGTCCGCTGAGCTATCTGGCTGGCCCTCTAAATAAATTTTAAAAGGGAATGGTGACCCAGGACTCAGACCTGCCTACCCTTAAAATATGTATGTAACAACTTATAAACTGCAAGTATTAATCATTTTTGTTTCTCATATAAGATTTTTTTAAATCTAACAATTAAAATAAGGGATTTTTCTTAAACATACACCAAAAGTACTCCGTATTTGCTGCAGACCTCACAGCTGCATGAGCACATGCTTCTAACTTGTGTTTTAATTCACTGACACAGTTTGTACTGCTGCTTCTTTGTTGAGATGTAGAACTCACATTTTCTCAATGGACACCAACTATTGGAAAAGTTGCTACCAATTATTGCTAGCAATTGAAGTTATAAAGTGAAAACAAAAAGTGTAAAGTGACAAATTGTTTTAATTATTAGCAGTTTTATTTCAGGTATGCATGATACTTGAAAGACACACACTCCCATCTATTTTGTTTTTCAGGGATTAGACAGCAAATTCTGTTAAGGAATTGTTAAAACCTTCATTGTTTAGGTGTCTTCAGAAATTACCAAATGTGAGCATGGATATAGGATAAAGCAGAAGTGCCGGGAAAGTTTCGGCAGATCTGTGTCAGGTCCTAAATGTTTTGCTCCACATTTGTACATAACATAAAAGTAGAGCTTTGCTTGAACAATAAATTAATTGCCAAAATATTATGTATGTAATCCTATGTCTGCACTACTTTCTGTGTTGTGCAATTATACTATGTAATCTGCAATTTATAAACAGAATATTGGATGGCTTATATCTTGGTACCGTTGCTAGTATATTGCCTGTTTTGGTAAAAATGTTCATCATCTGTTCATTTCTTGCAAAGAGATTTTAGTAGAAAATTTTATGTTAGAAATGTTGTGTTTCAATCTGCCAGGGAACTCTTAAGATGAAGCTGGAAAAAAAATCCATTAAAAGCTGAACTAACCATGGTAGGAGGCCTGAAATCCATCAGATCATTCATTCAGATTTACAGGAGAGGGGGAACAGCTGGTGTAATCCAGTTTCAGAGCATTCTGTTTCTGAGAGATTCCATGGTTTCTATGTGAAGCAAAAAATAAGGCAATACCCTTTGGTATAATTAACTCAGCCACCACCTGTTGATGGCTTTACCTCTTTCCCCTTTTCTAAAAACATTGAAATCTGAAAATAATTATCAGTATGCAATAATTTGTGGTTATAATAAGAGGAAATAAAAGGTCTTTATCTCTGTGTATTAGTGTACTGCAGTGAAATGGCACATAACAGTATACATCTAAAGATGTTTTAACAAATTTTTCTTATGGTTTAAAATATGTGGACATAACAGCTAGACTTTTACATATTAGTTCTAGGGCAGGGACATATATTTAATGTATTATATATATATATTTAATCATCTCCTGCCTCCTCACATTTTAGGAGGCAGGAGATGAAGGGGCTTAAAAAAAAAAAAAGAATTAAAATGTGCCATGTTGTACTTGTACCAGTTCCCCATGATGAAGGTAATCACTATATACTACAAAATATACTAATAAACATTAAAAAAATACATCACACCGTGAGCTTGGAATTGATTCCCACTTATTAAGATCCATTCATTTGTGCCATACATTCTAAAAACAATTTAACTATGTACTAAACACTTGGAATGCAGAGAAAAAAGGTACTTCTCAAGTAATTATGTAGAGAGGAGCAGATAGTTTCAGTAGAGGGCCATTGTGAGGTTTGATAAAAATACTCTCATACTTTATATGCTCAATAGGCAGACTCCTTACCCAAATTGGGTATTTCAGGAAGGACTCCTCAAGGACGTAACTACCAGAATTAACCCTTAAGAAATAAATTATCCAAAGGGCTGGCCAAATAGCCCAGTGCATTAAAGCACCTGCTTAGGCAGACACAGTGGCAGGGGTTCGATCCCTGGCATGCTGTGCTGGCCCCGCCCCTGGGGTGTACTGAAACAGCAATTGAGACTGGGTGTGGTAGCACACTCCTGTAATTCCAGCTCTTGGGAGGCTGAACACAGGGGGATCACTACGAGGTCGATCTGTGTAGTGAGACCCTAAGACCCTGTAGGCCCTAAAATACAAAAGAAAGAAAAAGGAAAGGAAAGGAAGAAAAGAAAGAAAGAAAGAGGCTTAAAAAAAAAAAAAA